AAATGGGTTTAGAATAATCGACTATATGAGTAAATGCGGGGAGCAGTTTTCTGTACCACTATCTCAATGTATGCTCGAGTATTTCTGGATTCTAAAACATCTGGCCACGTCAATAAGAGACTAGAAATGATTTTTGACCTTTACCACATGTGTTTCGTCCTTACCCTGCATCATGCTTGGGTGTGTGGCCTCTCACAGGAGCTGCAGTATGAATCGTTCGGAAGTTGTCCTGTTTGGAAAACAAGATGTAACTTTATTTTAAGAACAAAATATTTTTTTGATAAACTATTTTTTTTTTTTGGAGCTGGGATTGTTTTTTTTATCAACTGCATAGGCCTAGGCAGGTGGTACTGTACCTGGAGGACGATACCTATCCGTGCACCCCCTCTTTTCTTCAAGACAGTAACACGGGACACTTTTTTTTTTTTTTTTTGCTGTTTTAGTGCAGTTTAGTTCTGCAAGTTAACATAAGTAAAACCTGCTTCACCATTTTAAGTAACAACAAAAAGTCTTTATTTATGATGCCAGGCTCATATTTACCCGTGAGAATCTGACTCCTTTTCAGACAGAAGCGTCTGAATTGGCCTGCATTTGAATCAACAGGAAAACAAGGCTCTGTGTGTTAAGTGCTGTGGTGCAGCTGATTTTGTAAGCCAGTGTAAAGGCTGCCTAATGAGAGCTAATTACATCATGATCCTAATTGATGCGTCTGTCAAGGCTAAACTTTGTGGCTGGAGACACTTAACAGCTTTGAAAAAAGACATTTCAACAGGAAGTCAATGCTTACCTGAATAACAGCGCTAGGAATCGTGATGGATTGATGCACATAAAAATAAATTCAGCTGGGAAAATTATATGTGTAATATGATTTATAAATATTTCAATAAATACAAAAACACCTTCATGGATAAAATTTAAAAATATTTCAAATAAATACTGAATAATGCATAAAACATGTCTGAACCATGAATGCTGCCCTGTTGCTGTGCAAACTAGCCTTTTTCATCGTCTTCGTTGCACCTGCTGGAGGGCATGTACATAAACATGCCTTGTTGGTACCTCATGCCTGGTTTGACTCACACTACCAGCGTGACTTTTTTTCTTGCTTTACTGCAGCGCTGCATAGAGCAGATATTGAAACCAGGGGATGGGGGGGGCGTGGGGGGGGGGGGGGGGGGGGGGGTCTTATGCAGTTTTAACACCTGATTATGGCTGTGCTGCACAAGCATGCTTTCTTGCAGAAACCTGAGCTCCTTAAAAATGTGTGTGACTTTGAACACGGCATGGTTTTGTGTGTTTGTGTTTTTTACTGGGTGTGTTTGTATGAAGCCGAGCATGTGAGGTGGAGAGGGATGATGAAAGAGGTGTGTCGAAGGGGGGCTTGTTTGTTCTGTGGATGGAGGAACAAGTGACAGCTAGAACATTTGTCACAGCGTCAGAAAGTAGAAAGGTGTATAAACATACAGTATAAGCAACAACACCTGCCTGTGTGTAGAGTCTGGCCAAAATGACCTTTCTGTAATGAACGGCACGTAAAGAGCTGCAGGAAAGGAGTGACCATGGCAGATTAGAGAGGTTACGCTGCTCTTTGCTAGTCCTAGCACACACATTCATCAACAGCCTTTCCCACAGGGCTCTTTTTGTTTCCCTACCTTCACCAGTATGCATTATTAGATAGGGTTCCATGTGCATCTGTTTTCCTCCAAAGGTCCTACAGGACTATACTGGATCTGTAGGCCCATAAATGTTGTTTATTATCACCTTTGAAAGGTGGGTGATAATGTTTTTGCCTGTTTCTTGTGTTTGTGTGTGTGTGTGTGTGTGTGTGTGTGTGTGTGTGTAGTTTGTGTGTGTGTGTGTGTGTGTGTGTGTGTGTGTGTGTGTGCTGCGCGCGCGTGTGTGTGCGTGTGTGCGCGCGCATGCATGTGTGTGTGTGTGTGTTTGGTTGTTTTTAGCCTAACTCTAAAAGGGGTGAGGTAGTACTCACTCCTTACCCCTGCCACGTGGACCTCATGGGATAAACCATCAGTCCTGCTCACTGGTCAACTTTCCTCGCAGGGTCACCCATAAGGACAGTGGGAGGGTTAATATTTCATGAAACATGGGATGGATTTTAATGAAACTCTTGGGAACTAATCTTCAGAGATGTAACTTTACCACTGAATCACTTTTGAATTCAACCTGAATTAAAGTGATTTAACAAAGCTTGCTAAAACACAAATGGCTATGACAAACATGTGGTTTCCTAATCAACCAAATCAATCTAAATGCACAGACAGTAAGTTTTCTCTTTCCCTTAAATGGAACATATTATGCAAAACTCATTTTCTGCCGCCATGTGTATCTTTACTGACTTTATAAACACTCCAAAATGTATGTCAGTGCTTGTTTAGGGAATAATATACCTAAAACAAGCAGTTTCTAAAGGTCCCTGATTGTGACATCACAAATGATATCACGTGCAAAATAGAGCTGGTGCTGCTATAGGAGCAACCACTCTTTTTCATGATCCTCTCAGGTATTGGAGCTTTCTCAGCTCATAGCAGCCTGAGCGAGAGTGAGGCATGAGAGTGGGTGTGGCCAGCTCCAGCTTGTCTTCTTAAAAGTGACAGAGTCCTGAAACAGCTCATTCTGCAAGGTACTGAAAATGTCATCTGTAAAACTGCTTGAATAGCTTTACGCGAGAGGGATTTGTGCAATGAACGGCAATGTAAAAAAAAAAAATGGTGGCCTAGTATGTCCACTTTAAATAATGCCTATTTATTAAAAAAATGTTTCTACAGGAGCAGTTCAGCTTTATCTAAAACATTCAGGAAACATGCTTGAAGTGGACTCCTTCACTAAGCATGTCAGCTCCATTTTGTCTAAGTTCAACAGGTGGCAGGCCACCACTCTAAAGTTGTAAGTACTATTCTGGCCCCAGAGGGGTGGGTGGGGGTCTGCGTAACATTTAATTAATGCTGTAAAGGCTCATTTTAGACCATACTGGCTCAAGAAAATGATTAAATATATGAAAAAGTTGCATAATATGGCTTTAAATAATCACTGATCTCTATATCATGGGTTTGGGGGCAACAGTAGCTCAGAAGGTTGAGCGGGTTGTCCAGTAATCGGAAAATTCAACACATTCTCACACCCAAAGCGTCAAAATATGACGCGTGTGACCAAGCCCTCAAGATATGACAATTCGGGATGCCCCAGCGCGTCAGGAGACGACCATCAGGGACACACTGATGATGCACCGTCCCAGAGCGTTGGTATCCGACGCCGGTGGTGAGAGGGACATTAGATTAACTTGTGAACTACTTAACCTTCCCCTCACCCCAATCCTAACCTTAAGGCCACAGTTACAGACCTTAAGGTTAGGATTGGGGTGAGGGGAAGGTTAAATAGTCGAATAAGGTCCGTGTGACCGCGGGTGTCAAACACTGACACCAGCGGAGCCACGTGTCCCTGCGTGGCCCTGATCGTCATCTCCTGACGCGCTGGGGCATCCCGAATCGTCATATATTGAGGCTTGGTCACACGCGTCATATTTTGACGCTTTGGGTGTGAGAATGTGTTGGAAGATTGCAAGTTCAATCCCGGAGAGAGAATCCTGCTGTTGTGTCCTTCGGCAAGACACGTAACCCACCTTGCCTGCTGGTGGTGGTCAGAGGGAGTGATGGCACCAATGCTTGGCAGCCTCGCCTCTGTCAGTGCGCCGCAGGGCAGGCAGCTACATTGTAGCTCCTCAACTCCAGTGTGTGAATGTGTGTGTGAATGGATGAATGATACACTGTAGTGTAAAGAGCTTTGGAGTCCTCTGACTCTGAAAAGCACTTGAAGTGTTGGTCATTTCTCATAACAGAGCATTGATCAGACAAGACGAGTCATACAATTTGGAAATTTTATCTTCAAAATGTGAGATTATGAAAAATGTTATCATGAAAAAAAAATAATAACATCTATGTGTGTGGTTGTTGGTGTTGCATCAGAGGAAATGTTGATTTTGTATTTCAACCCAACCTTTAGAAATGATTTCTCTCAAATTTCTGTACTAGTAATAATATTATTTTTGCAAAGAAAACTACTGTTTTGAATAATGCGGTTCAATTTGGGAATAGATTGATAATTTAGAGTAGATGCTATGCTGCCTTGTATTGTCTCCCGTCTTCCAAATTATTAGTTTTTTTTTCCTTTTGAAAAATACATTGTTCCCAGAAAACATCTAAGAAACTGCTAAGGAAATTATGTATAATTCACAAAAAAATTGTAAATGTGTTTAAAAGGAGAAGCGCCAGCAGACGCCTTCTTTTGTGTTTCCAGTAAAACACAAACTGGTCCCGTGTGAAAAAAAAACGATCATTTGGCCGTCCAACATTACTGGCTGAAGCAGGCAATTCACTCAACATTCAAGAAAAAACATGTTTATATATATATATATATATATATATATATATATATATATATATATATATATATATATAATATACTCATAAACCTCCAAGTACAATCTGAGTCATGAATATTTCTGTTCTCAGGAAATTAGAAACTGAAAATAGCCTGAGGAATACTTGGAAAAAGCAGTTTTTTTGCTTTGTTTTTTACTGTTGGGACAGATGCTCTGTGTGGGTGATAAAAAGTGCATCTTATTACGTCTCAGATCCCAACAGTTAAATGCCACGTTTGATTTTATGGAGACTTTTCTTTAGCTGCTGAATAAATTTCAGACATTAAATGAGTCAAAAATAGTTTCAGCAACAAATTATTTAACAACTTAATTTATCCGGAGTCACGACTCTGATTTACTCTGTATGTCTGACACTTAATGTGTTAACTGTAGTGAAATAAGAAAAAAAAACCAGGCTGTACAAAGTGAAAAAAAAAATAACAATTGCTGACTTGCTTTGAAAGATTTCTAAAGCACTGCTTAGGAATGTTCATAATTTCGGTTTATTTCATTATGAGTATTAACTATGAATGTGTATTCTTGTCTTGCTTATTGTTTTGTCTCACAGCTGCTGTCAGACAGCCAGATTAACATGGTGAAGGTGGTGAACTCCGTTAGCGACGCCCTTAATGCCATGCAGAAGGAGAATGTAGGTCTGAAGGCTCGAGTCAAGGCAGATCTGCAACGAGCTCCAGCCCGAGGGGCTCGCTTCAAGGGCTGCTCCAATGGTAAGAAAAACGAGCTGTTTGACTTTCTGTATGTGTCCAACACGGCTAGATTAAACTGTAGACTCAAAATAACAAAAGAAAGAAAGGAAAACATGGTGGTGGCAGTGTGATGGTCAGGAATCCGGTATCACACATGTTTCAGTTTTAACCCTGCTTCAACACACCAGATTTAAATCAGCAGGTGATTAATAGGGTTCTGCAGAGCCTAATGAGCTGCTGAACAGGTGAATCAAGTGTGCTGAATCATTAAAAAACACTAAAACGTGTTAGATACCGGACCTCCAGGACCGGAATTGAATACCCTGGTTTAGCTCACCAGAGCTTTGGGGTATGCCACAGTGTCAACAGTAGTGATTCATCACTAAGTAGCTGTGTTCATGATCTAAGACATGCAGGAAACGTGCTGGAAGCAGACTGCAGCACCAGGTATGTAAGCTCCATTTGTTTCTAAGCCCGACAGACCAGACCTGCACTCTGAAGTTGCAAATGTGGTATTGTGGCCACAGAGGTCGGTTGGGTTTGAGTGACATTTCAGTAAAGTGTCATTTTAGCACATACTGGCTCAGGAAAATTATTTTAAAATATGACAAATTTGCTGGGGAAAAACTGGAGAAATTTTCTCTTGATCATGTGTATGTGACATGTAATTCATGCAACACATACAACCCATAAGTAGCCTGTAGGCCTGTCTATTTTACTCCATTTGATGATTTTGCCACTCTTATCCCAACCCTACTATTCAGTAAAATTATATTCCTGTGTGATCTGCCTGTTACCCACACAAGAGTACTTATTCAAAGAAGCCTCTCCAGGCGATATCAGTGTGTTACTCTTGGCTATGGCTCATTCACCTTATCCAGCAGCCTCGGTAGGAATGTGCATTCCTGTTCTTCTTTTTTTTATTTTTATTGCTGTACACGAGAGATGACTCCTTGCATGTCCACTGGACTGTGTTGCTGAGAGGAAGAGAAGGGCCTTAGGCATCATCCCATTGCAAGGCTTTTAAGCAGGCACAGTATACCCGGTGGCATTCCCCTGTTGGATTTGCCTTGTGCAGGTAGGTAAGTAGCACTGCTGAAGTGTGCTCGTGTACTGAATGCAGCATATTCTAACAGCAGAGAATATCAACAGGTTTTTTTTCTTTTTCTTTTTGAAGGCCTGAGAATGTGGGGGATATATTTTTTTAAATCTGCAAACACAAAGTGGAGTGTTCGAGATGTTGCATGGACAAGAACAGAAATAACACACTTGAGATGAATGTAACATCATTGTGATGAGATTTGCAATATCTGGCTCACCTATTTCTCAATAGATGTTAAAAGCTTTGGTGTGTAGTTTTGCTTGTATGTTACAGAAATCACAGATCCACAGAGGCTAACGGTTCCAATCCATCAGCCCACCTCTCACATTATCCTACCATATCTAGTGAACAAGACACTAAAACACTCGATCTCTTTGGCTTGAAGTACATTTTTGAAACTCAAGGCTTGTGTGGGCCAATTGTGACCCTTGTAACAATTTTAATCAGCCCTGCAAGATTCTTGATGCTTACTTGGACTCTTACCAGGAAGACATGGAAGGACCTGTAAAATATGTCCACGTGCTCCAGCTCTTCTTCCAAAAACAGGCTTCTCAAATAACATTTTCTTCAACTGAATCAGGAAGTCTCATTGATGCACCTTCGTTCAGTCTGGAAAATTCTCACAGTTTTTTCTGGTCCTAGTTATTGATTAATTTAAGCTAAGAAATAGTATACATACACACACACATATATAAGTATGTATGTATGTATATATATAATGTGTGTGTGTGTGTGTGTGTGTGTGTGTGTGTGTGTGTGTGTATGTGTGTGCATATCCATCCATCAATTTTCAGAAAGCATAGCATTCTGTTTTGAAACTCTGTCCATGGTGCTGAAAACAGTGTACCCTCATTAGTTTCACAGTTCTTGCCTTGTGATCCCTTAAAGTTTTTTTTATTATTATTTTTTTTTCTGAAGCAATCAGTAAACTTGTATGTGAAACAAAGCATGGACTGAATTTGGCCATCATTTTTTATACCAGTTGACAAAGAAATCCTCAAGTTAGATCCTAGCAAATTAGTTTCTATAATGGAAGGATTTATTCAAGCTCGATTTTAACACATTGTCTTCTGGCTCTTTGTTAATGATAAGAGAGGCTGAACAGAAATATAGGTCTGCATGTCTATGCATATCGTTAGTCAATTATGAGATGCATGGCGTTCCCATTAGTGACAAAACTGATTTGAAAAGTTCTAACAAACTTTGACATAGTGTTAAATCACACATGTGTTTCTGTTGACTTTGTGTGACTGTGACCACAATAACAGATCATTATGTAAAATGGTGAAGCCTAACTGCAGTGTAAGATTGTGTAATGGGTACGTCAGACCTGCTGTAGCTGCTGGAGAAGAACTTATCTGGCTGCTTTCCCTCTAATTATTTCTCACAGAGCCTCAAAGAGTTCAGTCAGATGATCGACAGGCATATTGTTATTAATTTCCCTCAGATCTAATAAAAAACAAAATCAGGTGTTTTTATGCATCGGACAACAAAATAATTTTCAATAAATGTGTTTTAAGAGTGCAGAATGGCCTTGCAATTGGCAGCACTGTTGCCTTGCAGAAAGAAGTTCGAAGGTTTGAACCCCAGCCTCTCTGCATGGAGTTAACATGTTCTCCCCGTGCATATTTAGATTTTCTCTAAAGGCTCTGGATTCCTTGCACAGACCAAACACATGCATGTCAGGATACTTAGTGACTCTCAATTGTCCCTAGGTGTGTGTTTGATTATATGCAGAGATAGGCACCAGCTCTCCATGGCCCTGCAGAAGAAAAAGCTGTTTGAATTACTGATGGTTTTTCATTGAATAAAAAATGCACGGTAGACTGAGTTATTTTCACATTTTCAGTGATAGTATTACGACTAAATGTTATTGTTTTTGTGTAAAAAATGTTTAAATGCAACCTGTTTACTTCCTGTCCCTCTGCAGCTGTAATAATATCTCTTAGGTGTCATCATGATGGCCACATATGTGAAAGAGAGTGAACACTGCAGACTCAAATGTAAAAACAAAACGACTTGTTACTTTAGGGGTGGTTCAAATAAATTATTTAGACTTTGATTTATTTACAGGGATGTGAATGAAGTTTAGTAAAATTGGGAAAAAAAGTCAGATAAATTAACCCTTCAGTTGTTAAAATATCACAAAGACCCATAGAATTTATCTATTTATGTTTGTGATTTCAGCACCATGGACAGATCCCCACCTTTATGTCAGATTCTTGTGGCTCATATTTTAAAGTTAAAGTCCCATTAGTCATCACTGGTGAAGTTTATCTCCACATTTGACTCATCCCTGTGGGGTGGGGTGAGTTGCAGCTGTGACTGCGCTCAGGATCTGTTTGGTGGTTAAATCCCCCAATCAAACCACTTAAAGCTGAGTGTCAAGCAGAGGGGAATTGGGTCCTACTGGGACTTGAACCCCGATCTCCCAGTTCCAGGGTGGACACTTTTTTTTTATTTTTTATTTTTTTATTTTTATTTTTTTTACCGTGTCCTGTCTGGCTGTGAAGCAAGCAGAATTGATGTCTGAATGCTGGTGACAAGCCTTACAGATTTACTCTCAGGTGGAGCATCAAAGCGTTTGCTTTTAATGTCACGCCTGATACTTAAAACTTTATTGTTATTGTTGTTGAATGCATTGTAATTCCGACCAGACACGGAGACAGAGGTGAAAGAGAAAGGGAAAGAAAAGGTGGGGAGAGAGAGGGGGGGTTCCACAAAAATAAATGAACAAGAGTCTGCTTCTAGACCTGCAGAAAAAGACACAAAAAAAGGGACACAACAACAATGCAACAAGATCTAGCTATCACTGTGTCAACTTGATGAAGAAAATATATAATCAACATTGTTTAACTGAAGAATCACGATAATAAATCACAGTGCATTAAGTGCCCACCATAGTCTTAAGACCTGTGTTTAACGTTCCCAAGCCCATACTTTTGAGAGCACCATGCGAGCACCTGTGTGTGTACACACGCTTGTTTATGTAAGGTTTCTCTATAGGAGCGTCCAACAGAGAGTGTGAGGGACCACAGATCCGCCCCCCAAAGATGCGCAGGAGACGAGGGGAGCTCCAAGTCCCAGAGATCCAGGCGCTGCCCCAGAACACAGCAACCCCAAGGAGACTGCAACCAGGAAGGACCCCCCCCCCCCCCCCCCCCCCCGAAGAGGCACAGAGGATTGCCCCGGGGGGGCACAACCAGCAGCCGGCAGAGTCCCGGGAGACATCAGCGGCAAGCCCACAGGCCCGCCCGCAGCCTCCCACCCCCTAGCCGGCCGAGCCCGGGACCCAGGGGCGACCACTCCTGCCGGGGACCCAGCAGAGCCCAGGGACCCAGACCCCACCAGGCAGCCACCGGGATCTATCAGGCAGATGCCTGAAACATAAACCCCCAGACCCGGTTGCCACGAACACTCAGGCAGACCATGGCACAACCCCTCACAGTGTGGCAGGGGGAGGGGGGACAAAGATCTATATGGTCAAGAGAGGCTCCAGGACAGGGGAGGAGTCAAAGGCCCCACCTGACATATACAATCATACACAAACACAGTCACACACTCCCTCCCTCATGCTTACACATGCACATACAACCCAAGACTTACAAAAATGCATGCCGGACACCTACTCATGCTCCCCATACACACCCTATTCACTCTGGTCCCGGTACTGCTGCACACTGGGTACAACCATCACCGGTAATCAGAGTTTGACCCTTTCTGCTGGGGTGCTGATGAGCAGGCTCCCCCGCCCAACGCTGAGCACAGCAACCCACCACCCCAGACCCCAACCAGACGACCAGATCTCCCTCCTAGCCTCCAGCCCCAGGAAGCCAAGTGACAACAGAGGTGGCTAGGACCCCTAGTCTCCCTCCGCCTGCTCCAATATAGTGTTGTGTGATCATGAGGTGTACACTCT